GAACTGGGGAGCCCAGAGCTGGACACAGTACTCCAGGTGGGGTCTCACCAGGGCAGAGTAGAGGGGGAGGATAACCTCCCTCGATCTGCTGGCCACACTCCTCTTAATACACCCCAGGATACCTTCCAGAGAAGGAGACTCCACAGCCCCCCTGGGCAGCCTGGGCCAGGGCTCGGGCACCCTCAAGGTCAAGAAGTTCTTCCTCGTATTCAACTGAAACAAGTCGCTTCCCAGCATGGATGTTAGGAGAGGAGGGTCAGGATCAGGGTAAGGGGGGGCAGTGGCTGGGGGTGGCCTGAGCTTCGCCTCACGACGCTTTCTGCAGCCTGCCTCAACGGCAGCAGCTTGCCCGACTCTTGCCCATAAGCTGCAGGGCTGTAAATAGTTGCCTAAATGCAGACGTCTGGGGTATTTTGGGTGCTGTTGGGTCTCCTGTTGCTCTGAAAGAGCAGGACCTCCTGTGGATCCTATTTCTCATCCACCAGCCCCATGCTGCTGTCTCGGATCTCTTAATAGCACAAGGCATCCGTGTTTAGGCAGCTGAATCCTGCTCCAGCTGCTTTTGGGGGCGAGTGGGCGAGACTGGGTGTTGGATGGTAACTGAGGGAGTGGAAATCGCATCCTGAGCCCTAATGCTGCCAGCGGGGTGGCCCTGATCCCATCACCTGCTTCAGCGCTGCCTCCAAGTCTTCATCCCTCCATGGTAAATTCCCGTCTTCCCCAGCTGGGCTGTCCCCAGCCCTTCATCTCTGGCAGGAGATGCTTGAAGTGTCCGGAGTGTCACCCCCCTTGAGGTGTGTAACTACTGGAGGGGAAACCCTCCACCCTCTGCCGATGACCTGACTCGGGCTAGAGCCCTTTTTTGCAGCCTTGCAGCCACTGGCACAGTCATGACCTCTCCCTGGTGGCCCTATCCAAGCTGCACGTTGGGAATAGTCCCGCCACCACTAACCCTTGCCCTTACCTGGAAATCATTTGGGTCAGGGGCACTTGACCCACTGTTTGGTCTCTTTGCAGATGGGGAGCTGGTCCAGTATCACTATGGGCTGAAGGATCTGGTCACCATCCTCTTCTACATCTTCATCGCCATCATCCTGCATGCAGTGGTGCAGGAGTATGCCCTGGACGTGAGTGCTGTTCGGTGCCTTGAGTCGCCAAAATATCTCAAGTGCCATGGTGGGGACATGGTCCTGCTGCAATTTAATGCCACTCTGGGGGTGGTCTGGGGGTTGGGGTGGTCATGAGTGAGCCTTCATCTATGGAGGCTCCTTGGGATGAGGAGGAGGAGGAAGTAGAGTTGTTGACCCGACGGCTCATGTTTTCTTGTTTCTTTTCTCTCCCTCTGCTCCTTCCCAGAAAATCAACAGGCGCCTCCATCTCTCCAAGGTCAAACACAGCAAGTTCAATGAATCAGGACAGCTGGTTGCCTTCCACTTCACCTCCGTGATCTGGTGCTTGTACGTCGTGGTGACGGTAAGGCGCGGGGCTGGCTGGGCTTTGGGTTCCCTGAGTGGGATTTGGGGTTTCTGGAGTGCAAAACCCTGGTGGCAGCAGAGAGTCCCCAGCCAAGCCCCTGGGCACACCTCAGCAAGTTGGGTTTTGAAATGTGGTGGGTCTTTCCACCCACCGGGTGAGGGCAGCTTGGAGAAATCCTTCTCCTGCTTCATGCAAGGCACAAGCAAATGGGCTGTGAAATATTTCTGGAGCTGGACCCTACAAATCCTGCCTGGCCCTGTCATCTCCATCCGCTGCTCCTTCTTTCTCAGCCTTATTTTCCTCCTCATTTAAGTGCCTCAGGGGTTTCAGGTGCCCTCAGAGGGATGTGGGGTGAATGGGCAGATTTTTGTGATCCCTCTCTCAGTGAGCTGATGGTGAGGGGAATGCTGAGAGCAGGGTAAACCACGCTGCAGCTTGGGTTGCATTGGGGATGTTTTAACCCATAACTGCTGTGAAAAAAATGGGGAGTGGAAATGTTTCATTTTGGGGAGGAACCGGGAAGGAAGAACAGGCAGCGGAGGGGAGCTAGAACTATTCTGGCAGCATGAAGCCGTGGTGATGCTTTGCTGCTGGTGGCTGTTGGGGTTCAGCTGTGGTCCGTAATGGCACTGGCGATGGATGCTTGGGGCCAGGTCCCCTCCCTGCTGCTCGGGGGGTCCTGCCAGCCCTCCTTAGAGGACTGCTACCCCCTCCAGGCCAGCACTTCTGGGGATCTACTGGCACTGCTCCTGCCCCGCAGGGCTGCGGGGAGGGAAGCTTTGGCAGAACAGCCGAGGTTGCTGGTTTTGGGCTGCTCTCACCCAGCGCCAGACCCATCCCTCGCCAGCTCCGGGGCTACAGCCTCCTTGCAAACCCATGGTGTGCTCCCCAAATGCCCCTCATGTGCAGAGTGGGTCACCTCCTTTGCAGAACTTGCACATCCCCCAGGCCTCGCCCAACCAAAAAAAGGGCTCAGGGCAGATGGGGCATGGACAGAGGTGACAGATAGGTCCTGAGCAAGATGAATTTTCCATGCCAACGTCTCTTTGCAAAGCCCAACACAGCACCCCTGTGGCAGGAGCTGTGCAAGCGTGGAAGGAGAAGGGAGCCCCGTCCTGTAATCCGCCCTGCAAGCATAAGGCAGGAGGCCGTGGAGGAATGCAGACAGGTGGAAAATTAAACTATGCAATGCACGTTCAATTATTTTTGCAGGCATTTTCTGTTCCCCTTTCTCTTCAGAAGTACTTCTTTTTGCTGAAGTGATACGTGGGTTGGAAATGCCCCCCGCACCATGCACACAGTTGCTTGTAGCCGTGCTAACTGGCATCTTGCCCCCACGCCTCCAGAGCATCCCTCTCGCCTTGCTCAAACCCCAAAACATCCTCCTGAACTGGGGAGCCTCTGTGCAACCGAGGACCTTCAAACACGGGGGGCCTCGTGAAACTTGAGCAGGGTGCTGGAGACCCATGAATGTGGCTGAGCTTTGGAGAGCTCAGCCTCGGCTTGTGCTGGGAAAATGTTTTTTTACTGCAGGCTAAAAGGGCTCGGGCATCATCCCCGGTTCCCAGTTCTGCTGTAGCATTAGCCCGCCCCGTCGTAACCATGCTCTGCCTGTTTCTTTTGCTGAAGGCTTGCATCTCTTCTCTTTTTCAGGAAGGATACATATCAAACCCCCGGAGTTTGTGGGAAAACTACCCACATGTTTATCTTCCGTAAGCACTCGCAAGGGCATTTTGTTCTCGGGCTGACCACTTCCTTCCTCTATATGGTTTTCCCTGCGGCTGGGAGCGGGGTGCTGACAGCACAGCACCCTCTGCTCATGCCCTGCTGCAAGGATGCTGCAGTGAGATCCCAGGGGATGGGGGATATCTCGTTTGTGGCCCTGGGGAGGGTGTCCCCGGAGGGTTTCCTCCATGAGGAAGGCCCTGCAGGCTTGGTTACTCATCCTGGCTGCTTATTGCCTGCATCGCTTCAGGCAAGTCACTTTGCTATTCATTTTTCATAGTAGAAACAAAGAAGTGGGGGATAATCCTCCCTTCCTGGGTTTTTGCAGAAGTGAGGTTTGCTGAGAGTGTGGAGGCAGCAGCACGAGCAGCCGGATAAACTCTGGGCATAGCTAGCTCAGCTGAACATATAATTTCAGCCCAGAAATGATGCCTTCTAAATCCCAGGGCTTCAAAGCAGTGGAGGGATTGCCTGGCGCTGCGTGGCTGGGCACTTTCCCCGGTACGCAGGTCCTTGGGGCCCTGCCATGCCCCGGGCTGGCTGACATGGCTCATCCCTGCGTTTCAGATTCCAGGTGAAGTTTTTCTACCTGTGCCAGCTGGCGTACTGGCTGCACGCCCTGCCGGAGCTCTACTTCCAAAAAGTTCGCAAGGTGAGAGCAGAGTGGGTGCTCTGGCATGGCCTGGGGATGCTTCAGGCGGTTCGCCCCACCGGCTTTGGGGAAAGCAAGCTTTGGGAGAGGGTGGGAAAAGAAGGATGAGGGGTTAACTGAGGCTTTCTGCCCCTGCCAGGAGGAGATCCCCCGCCAGCTGCGGTGCATCGCACTCTACCTGGCGCACATCGCCGGCGCCTACCTCCTCAAGTGAGTCGGCTGCCTCGGCATCCCGTCCTGCGCCCGGATGGGGCTGAGCAGGTCCTTTTGCAGGGTGGGGGGGCTTAAAGGGAATAAAGGCGAGTGTTTAAAAAGGAGTTGGTATTGAAGTTGACCTCCCGGCTGCTGGCTGTTAGTCAAACAGTTTTCACAGACCCACAGAGCTGATTTTGAAGGAGTTCAGCGGTGTTGCGCAAGTTCACGGGTGATCTCTGGTCACGAGGCATTGCAAAGCAAATGTTAACCAGGGACCCGAAACACAGGCTGATGGGTGCATCTCCCCTGGCTGGGGGAAGCATCCTGGGGTGCTCTGCCTGCACAGCACCGGCAGGCAAACCCTTATCCTTCCTCTGAGTGCATGCACAGAGCAGCACTGCCAGTGGTTGGCGCTTTGTGTCAGACCCATCCCAGCTCTGCTGCTGGTTTGGGCCGCTTTGATGTTTTGGGGACAGGGATTTCCCCCGTCGTAATCCTGCCCCCACTGCTGCGGAGAGAATCATAGGATCCTAGGTTGGAAGGGACCTCAAGGACCATCTGGTCCAACCTTTCTAGCCAAAAGCACAGTCCAGACAAGATGGCCCAGCACCCTGTGCAGCTGAGTCTTGAAAGTGTCCAATGTGGCGGAGTCAACCACATCCCTGGGGAGATTATTCCAAGGGTTGACTGTTCTCACTGTGAAAAATTTCCCTCTCGTGTCCAATCGGAATGTCCCCAATAGCAACTTGTGTCCAGAGGTCCAGCTTTGGGCTGGTGCTTGCTGCAGTGCAGGGATGGCAGGGGAGATGCCGTCACTGGATATGAGGGACTGAGGTGGACCAGCCCAGTGATGCTTTTTTTTTTTCTTTCTCTTGCCTCCTAGCTTAACCCGCTTGGGGCTGATCCTCTTGCTGTTGCAGTACTTAGCCGAATTCTTCTTCCACATGGCCCGGCTGGTCTACTTCACGGATGAGAACAACGAGAAGCTGTAAGCAGGCGAGCTGGCCATGGCTTCGCTCCTCCAGTGCCCAGGAGAGCCGTTGGTGTGACGGGGGGCTCGTTCTCACCTTCCAGCTTGGCGCTGGAGGCTGCTCCTGCCGACACCTCTGCTTGCTCTCCTTGCAGGTTTAACGTCTGGGCTGTCGTGTTTGTGGTCACCAGGCTCTTCACACTCACCCTGTACATCCTGGTCATTGGCTTCGGGCTGCCGCGGGTGGAGAACCAGGCCCTCGACCCCGAGAGAGGGAACTTCTTCAGCTTTCTCTTCAACAATATCCTCTTCAGGTAGGAGTGTTCCCTCCTGTATCTTCCCTGGTTGCGTTTTCCCCGGGTGGATTTTGCTAAGTTTGGAAATGCCATGGCAGAGGGGAAAAGCCAGTAAATAAGCTGTTCACTGAGTGAAGTTAGGAAGCACAAGCCTATCTTGGAGAAAGGCTGGCAGGCTTTCCCTTCTCCACCTGTAACTGCACTCACATGGATGTGGTCAATGAAAAGGCATTTTCCCTTCTCCTTGGACATGTTTTGCTGCCTGTTGATGTGGGAAGCAGAGGGTGGGATGGGTTCCTCATGCCTTACGGTCTGTCTGTTTAGACCATGAGCCTTTCTCACCCATACAGCAACTGTAGGTTTAGAAGTTCAGAAGATGCTAGGGGAGGTGCCTGGTCATTCCCAAGTCTTTTGGAGCTATGGACTACTGGCACGCCCGAGGATTTGGGGGACTTCCTTAGCTGCCTTCCAACCACATCCACCTTTTAGTTGTACAGAGCAGCTGGGGACGTCTTACCTTGACCTTAACAGACTGTGGTGTGGGCAGTGCTGGTTGAGATGATCTTATTCATCCATTCCTGCCCTAAAGTCTTAAGAGTCAGCAATGCCCCGAGCACCTGAGAGCTTTGTGGTAGGGAGGGAAAGGGGAGCAGCTGTCCTGAGCTCAGGGAATGGCAGAAAGCAGAGATGGTGGCTGGACAGGTGGTGCTGGCCTCAGTGCAGCCATCCAGGGGGACCTTGGCCACCGGCCCCAGTGTGGGTGGAAGGCTGGGCTGGTGGTGGCCTGGCTCCTCTGTTCTCAGCCTGCCTCTTCTCCGCCCCTACCAGAATGAGTGTGCTGCTGTTGGTGTGCCTCTTCCAGGCCTCGGTGATGTGGCGCTTCATCCACTTCCAGCTGCGGCGCTGGCGGGAGTACTGGAACGAGCAGAGCAGTCGGAAGCGAGCTGCTGCCGGCGCCAAGCAGCAAGCCAAGCCGCTCAAGAGGGACTCGGGTGAGTGTCCCAGGGCTGGCGTGCAGTGGGCTGGCATGGTGGGGGCATCAGTCCTGTGGTTCAGCATCCCCTCGGCAGGCTGCTGCCCGTGCAGGCGATGCTGTGGTGGTGCCTCCTGCCACTCCGTGCTGCATGTCCCCAGCAGGATCGTCCCACGGTGGTGGTTTTCTCCATATTTACGGGCCAGCCCCAAGCGGGTTTGGCCTGTGCAAGGGACAAAGTGTTCTCTTTCCATCCCCAGGTTACCATGAAAATGGAGTGGTAAAAGCGGAGAATGGCACCTCACCGCGAACCAAGAAGCTGAAATCGCCGTAGAAGCAAAGGTTTGTCTCCTGGGGAGGAGGGCGAGATACCGGGACTAAGAAGCAGCCCCTCCTCCTGGTCCTCACGAGCATCATCCTGAACGGCTTGGAAACCGGTCGTCTTCCCAAGGTGTCTCTCGCTCTTCTCCCTTCCTTTCTTATTCTCTTGAACCATTTGCAATAAAACCAAAAAGGTCCCTTTTCCTTGCTCCCTTCCCCTCATAGGAGCCTTTTCCAACCCTCCTGGTTTTGCCTTCCTCTGTTTCATCGTAAATCAGCGTGCAATTTTTTTTCTTTTCTATTTTAGTGTTTGGTTATTTTGCATTATTGTTACAAATGCATCGTAGATGGTTCCAAACAATCCTTTTTTTCTTCTACAGCATGTTCCTCCCTTCTCTCTGTGGTGCTTCCCTGAGCCCCAGGGTCAGGGCCACGGCAGCTTGAAGGCACCACGTGTCTGTTATGGGAACAGGCTCCTGGGGGAATGCGCTGGGGCTCTGTGACCCTGAGGCTCAGGGGTGCTTTTGGGCGAGGGTTGCCTCTCCTGGGGCACATCTGGCCAGCACTTGGCAAGTGCCACAGGGTGGTGGTGCTGCAAATAGAGACCAGGGTCTGAGGGAGGAACCTCAACTGTGTCTTGTCTCATGGTGGACTTCTGGTTAAGTGGGGTTCCTCTGACCCCTCGTTTTGTGCTAATTTTGGAGAGCCGGGCAACAGATGAGGGAAAGAAGTTCCCTCTTCATATAGGACCCGTCTCCTGGGCTTTGCTTGCCCCAGCTCTTCTGGTACAGCTGGGTCCCTCTCACCCTCTTGTCTGCAGGAGGTGAGCTGCCCCATAGTTCTTCTGGACCTCCCAGCCCCAAGAGCTGGGCTCAGGGCTCTGCAGCTCACGGTGCCTTGTTGTGGGGCAGCAGCATCCTCAGGTCCATGTGAAACCTTGAGTCCTGCCCTGCTCTGAGCGCTGGCCTGGCTCCCGTCAGCCCAGGCCCTTTGCCAGCTTGTGTGTGCCTTGTGGACCTGGTGCTCCTGTGGCTCATGACTGTGTCCAGATGACAAACTGGGCTGCTGCAAAGGGGTTTTGCATCAATGGGACTGTGCCCCTTTGCTGTCACCTTAGCCTTTCTTCCCCCCCCCAGCCGTGCCATCGGCAGCCACCAGCTTCACTCTTTGTTTCCAAAGGATACAGAGCTTGTATCCACCCAAGGTGCTATCAAATGCAGGTTTTTTTCCAAAAACCCTAGCCCCTTCATCCCTTTCTGAGCTGTGAATGAGATGACAGGGAAGGGGAAGGAAGCCGGGGCTGCAAGGAGCAGCTTGCATATTAGGAAAAGCCTGACCTGTGACGCATAGCTGTTGGCAGATGTTGTCGTCTCAAATCTACCTCAGAGGCCATCTGTTGCTGCAGACCACTTTCCCCCCTTGCTCCTGCCTGCTGCCACCCGTACGTGGTGGCAGGAGATCCATGGGAACCCCAGATCCCATCGGCTCAGTCCCCTGCTGCCTCTGCTGGGGAGAGCGTCTCCTGCCCGAGGTTTTGTGGGTCAGTGCCAGCTTGCTGAGCTCCTTCGGAGTGCCGCGCTCCAGCCTAGATTTGGTAGGCGTGCAGTAGATGGGCACCTCTCACCCCACAGCTCTCCTCCAGGGCAGGTTCTGTAGCTGGGCTTTGCTGTTGGTGCCTCTTGTGCAGCAAAGCCGGCTGTAGCTTTCGTTCTCCTTTGCCGGGGCAGGAGCAGGCGAGGGGTGTGCTCCCTTAGGTAGGGGAGAAGAGGGCGCACAGGGTTGCGGGGCGCTCCGGTGCTCTTCGATACGCAAGCCAGGGTTGAGGTCCACCTTCCTCATGGGTGGGGGGGGGCACGTGGTCCTTAGTGTGCCTCCTGCTCAGCCCTTGGGGCAGCCAAACTCTGGCTCTCTCAGAGTGCAATTCTAGCTTGAGGCTGGTGCAGTCGTCCCTTGCATCGTTTGTGCTTTGGGGAACAGGTGACGGTTGATTTTCTGCCCCTCTTTGAGGTGGGTGAGGTTTTTTTCCTCCTTCTGTAGGTGTCTTTTCTCCTTTCCTCCCCTTCTCCTTGTTGAGCCCCAGCTAGCGCTGGGCACTGGAGGAAGAAAATGTGCAGGGACTTGAGGACAGTTGGTCAAATTCCATTTGTTCCTCCATCCCCACAACCTCTGAGTCCCAAACAAGAGGACTCCGGGAGAGGGATTCCCCCTTTTTCGGGGGAACTGAGGAAGGAGACTTTGGAGCAGAGCCCTTGGTGGTATCTTGCAATTGCTCCTCATAGCCCTTGCAGGGTAGATAATACACATTTTGGCTGAGAGGCAGTGACAGTACCTGTAGTGCAATGTGACAAAAGGGGAGGAAAAAGAGCTTTATGTTAGGGAGGACATGGAAAAGGTCTAGCGCGAGAGGTTTTTCCGTTCTCCTGCCTCTTCCCATCCCCAGCCATCCACTGCCATGTGCCCTCCGAGAGCGACTGCTGGCCGGCATCTCCCCGAGCCTCAGCCGGTCCTTTCTGCAAAGCCGGTGCCTGGCAGCAGCTGAGGTATTGACTCTGTTAACAGGTGACACATGCAGTCCCCCAAAAAACCTGGCTGCTGAATGATTCCTCCTCCTGCCTGCTTGGCTTCAGGCAGCTTTTCCACTTGCACAATCCTGCGCCTTCATAAAGTAGCTAATGATGCTTTGTATCCCAAGTGCCTTATGTTGCCACGTAGGCTCTCGTAGGCTTGATCTGTGTACTATATCAGTAGCGGAACGCCCTCCCTCTTTACAATGTATGTACAACATATGCTACATTTATGTGGGGTTTTTGTTTTCTTTTTGGTAGAGCTACCAGTAAAAGGGACAGTTTGTTTTGGAAGCATTTCCATGCGTTCTCTTTTTTTTTTTTTTTTTTTTTTTAACCTATAGATGATGGGGCTTTTTTATTGTTTGCCCTTCGCTACCTTTAGTCCTCAGAAATCCCCATCCTTCTCCTGTTATGCCCAAGTGTGGCAGGATCCCTGGGATCTTTTGGGTTTTTTCCTCTTTTTTTGAGCTGAGCCTTTGCTGTAAGGCAATATGCGCTGTCATCCCAGAGCTCTGCGATCCACCCCCCATTGGAGGGGCTGCCACGGGCTGCTTCTGTCTCTGTCTTGTAGGGCGAGCACCTTCCGTCGGCTGCAAGCCCGCAGTAACTGCTTCTACGTCCGTGTCATTTCTCAGCAGACCGAGCCTTCTCTTCAGCCCAAAGAGCTTTTTCCTTCTCAAATGGAGTATTTGCATTGCAAGCCCTCGGTGGTCAGTCTTTCCTTGACCGCTCTGCCTACATAGATGCCGAGAGCCCACTTCCCTTGAGTGGGTGATCTTCTGGGTGCCCCATCTTAGCAAGCCCTGTGTCTTCTCCAAAAAAAAGACCCAACCCCGAAGAGGAGTTCTTGTCCACCACAGTGCAGCAAGTGTTAGACACTATGCAAAACTGCAAGTCTGCATTTTCAGTGTAATGCTATTGCTTGCACCCTTCCCGTGGGCTCGAGGCTGCTTTTGTAGTCTGCGTCCATTATCCAACCTAAGAAGGCTGGGGATTGAGTAGTCTGTGATTTTTTTGGTGTGAAGCATAGTGTTTCCTGCCCTAGCCTAGAAGAGCTGTGAAGTACCAGCAGTAGTTCTTTTTGTCTTAGATAGCTGGAGAACGGGCTTGAGAAGAGAAAGGGGCCAAGGAAGAACAGATGTAGCATTTCACATACAATTTTTGAGTGACTCGTACGTTGTGGGGCATTACAGTTGCGTTGGTTTTGTTTTGGGTTTTGGTTTGGTTTTTTTTTTTTTTTGTTTAGGATTCTTCTTACTCATCATGTTTGGGTTAGTAGTAAAGATGACAAATTCCAGTTCCCCTGTAGGTTCCCCTTACCCTTAACTCACCATTTTAAAATGTGGTTTTGGTAGGCTTCCCAGCTGGAGGGAAGAACGACTATTCTAGGATGCCTCCCCTTTGCCTCCAAGCGCCTCCCGAAGCCTGTAGCTCCCCTGCCTGTGCTGCAGCGCGCGGGGGTTTGCAGCAGCCTCAGTCTCTTGCCTTAGATGGACCCCGACTTGCGTCAACAGTAGATGGAGATGATGGGGTTTGATTTACAGCCTTCTGGTAAACTTCACAAGTGTGTAAGAGACGATTTGGCAGGCTTTGTACTCAAATCGTGGAGTGAGGTACTTCGCCCTGGGGCTGCGTGGGGGGTTTTGCTGGCAGCGGAGAGGAATGGCTGTTGTAAAAGCAGGCAGAGGCATGGAGTTTTTCTTTGAATGTGTTGAACATGATGGACCAAACTTCAGCAAAGGAACTCGAGGAAAATTTTCTGTTCTTCCATATTTATACTGTAGTGCGAATTCCCTAATTTTGGAGGGGGTGGTGGGAAGTAACAGTCTCTGATATTTTATCCCGTTTGTTCCATTCTTCCTGTCACTTAAGTTTTTGTACGGATTTTGTTTGTCGTTGTTTGTCATTAAATGACTTTTGTGATAAACTCAGCAAAAGTATTTTTCTGAAATAAATAAATAAAAGGCATAGATTCTTCCACTGCTGCTGTCTGCTGGTGCTTTGTCACCCTGCTCGGCTGTACGCGTTCCCAAGGCAAGCAGCGATGGGTTGTTCTTGTCTCTCTCCCCTGCCGTCCCAGATCAGTCTGTTCCCTTCGGGGCAGCATCTTGTGTCCTTGTATTCCCCACAGCTGGGCTTCATTTTCTCGCATTTCTCATGTCTCCAGCATGGGCAGCTGCTTCCGAGTTACTGATCTCTGGCTGCCTTCATCGTTGGGAGTGGAGGATAAGGGCATTTGTAGGATATGATTTATCTGATGGGGTTTAGGTGCATGCTTTATGGTGAGCTAGACTGTATACTTTCTGCAGCTGGCCCCAGGCATGCTACATGATTAGGTTACAGTTTCACAGCATGTGCAGAAAACAGTTTCTGACTTTCTTTTCTACAGCCTACAGCTCCAGTAATCTCATCTGTAAGTTCTCAGTCTCTGGAAAAGCTGATTAAGGTGGACTTCAGAAGTTAGCCTTTGTCAGCTGCTGCTTGGAAGGCACCTCCTGCAATGCCAAGCCGCGCTTTGAAATCCGAGGTGGACCTGAGTGAGCTGTAGCGATTCTCAGTCGGAGTGAGCAGCAGCATAAAACGGGCCCAGAAGAGAAGAGCAGTGACCTTTCCAAACAGGCAGGAGGGAGCTGTCATGTGGAGACTCTCAGCTGTCTGAGGGGAAGTGGGAATCCACAGCACAAAAGCTGATTTCAATGAGGATTTTGTTCCAAAGAGTTTTGTTCTCTCCTGTGTGCATGATGGCTGCCTTTCATACATGCTCGATACCTGGCAGGTGTCATTTGGGGTGAGAAGGTCCCTGCCACGGTTACCTTCGTGGAGAGATGAGCAATGTGACTCTTAAGTGGAGCACAAGTGTCATAACTCTATTGCTATGCCAGCTGCGCGTTTTCCCTTTTCATTGGACCCATCTGGTAAGATGACAGGTTGCATAAGATGGGTGTAGATAGTATCTCAATCCTAAAACCATTCTCCCAACCTTTTGTTAAAAAATGCAAAGCTGCTGTCAGCAGATTTGTGTACGGATCCCTGCTATCTCCATAGCTATGTGAGAGCTAAACTCACCGCCCCATTTCACCTAAACCCAGAATCACAGTTCTGCGGGGGTTTTCCCCTCACTTTAATCCTTAGTTGTTCCAGATGTTAGGTATTTTTATTTAAAGCAGCTTTATTAACACTTTTATAGCAGCCATGCATGACTTACATTCAGACTAGCAAGCGTGAGTTTATCGTGGCCCATGGCAGGGCTCTTGGATCTTCTTGCAATGCAAATAACAATTTAAACTGGCAGTCTTCGCTGCTTGAAGGTGAAAGGCCCCTTTCAACTCTGTAAGAGAAATCTAGCGTGGTTATCACTCCAGGCTTTAGAGAGCTTTAGCTCTAGCAAGCCTTTGGTTCTCCGAAGTTCTTTCTCACATGAGTTTCATTTCAATACGCAGCAGTTGTGAGGTTGAGTTTGGTGGAGGGAGGGCAGGGAGAGCTTTGGAAGGAAAACAAGTTAAGAAAATGAGTGTGAGATTAGTTGGCTCTAGTGAGAAGGGAATGGGGAGAGTGAGTGAAGCAAAGGTGAAGTCTACAGCATCCTTTTTGAAGTACAACATCTTAAAGTCAACCCAGCTAAGAATTTTATTGCTGATCTTGTTCTTCAGCTTCTGGGGGAAGATCACGAGGGGAAGGCTCTAAGGAAGTCATGGTAGTTTATCTTGTCTTCTCCACAAGAACAGAAGTCAATCAGCTGGGGGAAAAAAAAAGCCAAAAAACAACATAAAGAATTGGAAGAAGCTGCAAATTCTTTTTTTTTTTACGTGAAAAGTGCCCAGAGGCACTCCTTGTGTGACAGAGCAGAAGACCTTATTCCCCTGTGTGGAAGAGCCTACAACCTTAGCAGTCCTGAATCACAGGTAAGCTTGAATGCTTATAGATGACACTGATCTACGCAAGGAGAAGAGTTAAAGTGTTTTGAGTTTAATCCTGATTGCCTTCTAAGTATCACCGCAGCGGCAACAGATCCACAAAAAATAAAGTGTGGCCACAGACTGGCACGGGCCCTGGCAAATCTTTCAGAAACCCCACAGAAATGCCTGCCAAAAGTGGGACGAGGGCAGCACATCTGCACAGTTACCTTCCGCTGGTGGCACTTTGGTGTGTGCACATGGGGACATAGATAATTGAGCTCAGCCACAGCCCTGCTAACAAGCCAGTTCTGGTATCTGTGCCTGACTCTGCATTGTGTTACAGAGCCGTAGCCTTTGTGTGCTTAAGGGGAAGAAAGAGGGCTTTTGTTTCTTTAATTGCATAACTAATCTCCTTCAGACACCTAGAGAGATGGAAAAGGTCTAATATCACAGTTCCTTGAAAGGATTCTTCTTCCCCTTGTCGCCTGGCGACAGATTTACTAGGGTTGCTCTTGTGTGTCTGACAGCTGTGCTCCTCTCCAATCCAGACAGTAGTTATCTATCTACCATATGTTTAATTTATAGGACTGCTGCCCTTCCGAGGGCTCTGGGCATGCTCTTATTAAGGTTTCAAGAGAGAGGAAGGCTGCTTTTGGTGTATAGGTCCCAGATGGGGATTCAAACACGGGGGTTTAGCTGCAATTGTCACAGGTTCCCCACGTGCTCTTGGGCATGACACTTCATCTCCCATTCTCCTCGTGGAAGCAGGAAGGACTGTCACCACATTGTGAGTTCCTCAGGGCAAAGTAGTCTCTGACGAACTCCAGTAAAGCAAAGCCCTGGGTGCTGGTCAAAGGCACATTCAGGGCACATGCAGAGACATAAACATCCTGCCTGTGCACCTTTCAACCACAGCTGTGATGCTCACATTTGGCTGGTTTAGAAAATGGGGGGGGGGAGGTTTGGGGAAGGAAAATACTCCCTCTGGTTTCTAGGTTTCTTTAAACTCTGAGTCTGCCTTTATTGGCCACTAATCTACTGTATATCACATTATGCTGAGAAAGCATCCTTGCCAGTCATATTCCTGAAAGGATCCTCCATCCCTACTGCATGAATTTTTCCCTTCCATTTCCCCTCACGTTTCCTGCTATGCAGACTGCGATCTCCATGTGCTGATGCTCATAGTGCCCAGCAAGCCCATGTTTTAGTTGTGTTAAGCAAGTGGTTATGATTCTAATGCCTTTTTTTTTTTTTTGGTACAATACTTAGTTCTCAAATCTTCAATTCAGTTTTGCTGTTAAATCCAAAATGCATCTAAGCTTTCCTAAGGCTCCTTCTCTAAGCACCTCAGTGTCATCCCTATGCAAGCCCAGATGTGCTTAAGTCATGACAGCTACTCCGTGGCTCTGCCTGACATACAACCTCTTCTGCTCATCTCTGAGACCTGAGCCAGCAGGCATTTTCAGGCCTCACTTAACAGTGCAGCCAAACACTAGGCTGCTCATTTGGGGGGCAACCTGCGTAACATTTCTTCCCTTTACTTAGAGGACAGCAATTATTGTCTCCTCCTTTAAGGGACAAGCTCAGTCCAACAGCTCAGAGGCCCTTCTGAATTGGGACTCTCTTGCCCTTTTCTTGAAGCTGTTCCCCTTTGCAGGGTAGAGCAGCTGTTGGTCTCGCCTGGCTAGGGTTGGTTTGTAGTAGAGCTACAGTAGGGGAATTCAACATGCACAGCACCCCTTCTTTCTGACCTTGTTAAGAAGAATGGTGTTGGTCGGCACACTCAAGCTGTTGCAAAGGGATAAAAATTCTGCTTTGTCCAGGATGCCAGAACCACCCTTGTCACATTGAAGAAATGTCTCCCGAATGTTCTTGTTGTTCAAGTACTTATGGAGCTTCAGCTCTTCCTGAACCTGCCCAATTAATTC